TCACAATGGGCTTAGTTATTACGTACAACTAGTCAACATCTTATTTTTAATCAGCTGTTTGGACATGTTACGACACATCTCCATGGCAGATGGGACGTGAATCCAGACCTTCCAGTCCGGAGGTAGGGACACTAACACAGCTCCGCAGAGTCAATGCAACTTCGACCTATTCCTAAATGCAATAAATTACATCTTGTTAAAATCATTATTTATTCTCATTAAGATGCATTAATAGTTCATCCTTGAGTACTGTTAACCAAATGGGCCCATAGACTCAGTACGAAGAGGAAGAGTGAGGGTGTTGTGGTGCAATGTTAGTGTGAAAACGATTTTTCTTACTTTGTATTTACTTCTTTTGCAAAACACTTGGAAACTGTATCTGCTAATTCTTGATCCTTTTACAAGTGGAAACAGTTTCACCCTGTCTACTGTGGCCAGACCACTCATGATTTGGAAAACTTCAATTAAATTTCCCCTCAGCTTTCACATCTCCAGGGAGAGCAGTCCCAACTTCTCCAATTATTCTCATAGCTCAAGTTTCTAACCCTGGAACTATTCTTGTAAACCTCTTATGCCGACTCACCAATATATTCACATCCATATAATAGTGTTGCTGCTAGAACTGAACACAATCCTTCAGGTGAGATTTAACCTCCCTGCTCTTGGATTCCATGCCCCTATTAGTCAAGTGTAGAAAGTTGTTTTTAATAGCTTTGTGTACCTATCCTGTTACCTTTAATGACTTATGCACATATATGTCCATTTCTGCTCCTGCACACACTTCAGAAGTATACCATTTATTTATCCTGTTTCTCCATGTTTGTTGTACAAAGTGTATTGTCTCACACCTATTCACATTAAACTTCACCTGCCACCTATCTGCACATTCCACCAGCTTGTTAATGTTGATTTGATTAAAAGCAAAATGCTGTTTATGTCAGAAATCTGAAGTAAAAACAGAAAGTTCTGGAGAAACTCAGCAGATCTGGCAGTATCTGTTGAGAGAAAAACATAGCTTACGTTTCAAGTCCAATATGACTCTTCTCCAGAATATATCCACTGCAAACCTTTTTCCAAGCCAAAGAAGTACCCATTAACACTACTGTGTGTGATGGAGAGGTGATGGCCTTGTGGTATTATCACTGGACTGTTAACCCAGAGACCCAGGTTCAAATCCCACTACGGCAGATGGTAGAATTTGAATTCAATAAAATCTGGAATCAAGATGCTGATGATGACCATGAATCAATTGTCAGGGGGGAGGAAAAACATCTGGTTCATTAATGCCCTTACAGGAAGGAAACTGCCAACCTTACCTAGTCTGATCTACATGTGACTCCAGACCCATAGCAATGTGGTTGACTCTTAAGCCACCGCTGAGCAATTAAGGATGGGCAACAAATACTGGCCTGGTCAGTGATGTCCTCATTCCATGAATGAGTAACAAAGAAACTCTGAAATTAAGTTCTCCGAGTGGAACCTGAAGTGAGAACATTACTGTTCAGTAAGTGCTGCATGATAGTACTGTCAAAGATACCCTTCTTACAGACACCAGGCCTATTAAAATAACCTGACTACAGAAAGACAGGCTGCTTTGATTTGTCAGATGGAATTATTGTATTTAAATAATTGTATTATTACACTGAATTACCAATAGAGAATTGTGATAGTAAAAGGACAATCCTGAACATTTTTTTCCACTCAGGATATTGCTGAGCAAGTGCCACTTGATAGCAATGTCACTGAAATCTCCAGTCACTTTGCTGACAATCGAGAGTGGACTGAATATCTGAAAAATGTTCTGTTAAAGATTAAGTAGCATAAGGGTTAAAAGCAATGAATAAAATTTAGGAGTCAAATAGTTAATTGATTAATTTTTAATTTTCCTGTCAGTGAGCAATTTCTTGGAAGAAAAGATCTGAAAGTGGAGCAAACAAGTTCAGATTTAACCGAGAGGTGGTGCAAACTATGTAGGTCAAGGCACACTGGATATCAAGTGTGTAATGATCATAGAGATAAAATATGCAGCCAACCCTCAGGGAGTTGGACTGCAAAGTGAAAATGAAGGATGTATCAGTGGTTAGGAAACTATGCCTCCAACTAACCACAGACTAATGCCCATCAGATGCTGAAGTTATAAAAAGCTTGAAAGTACAGAGATCTCTATGCAAAAATGACAGATTAATGACAGATAAACAGATCAAAATTATCTTTGCAACTACATTGTTTCATTTCCCCTCCCTCCCCATCCAAACCATCATGCCTGATAGCACATTGTTTATTTTAAAAAGAGAACTAGTGCACCTCCTGCAGCACCACTCAGTAAGGTGGAGTGGATCAGAAATATTGAAGATCTTGTCAATGATCTATAGATGAGTTGATCTCAGGATACTGTTGGAATTATTCCCTTTCCCATCTGCTGGTTGGGCCTGTGGACACTCACAAGATCTTGTAGATAAAGTATAGAAACTTGAGTGAGATTTCCAACATAGTTGTACCAAGTGTGAATCATGATCTTCAGGAACAAGTTGAAGGAAAGACATAGTGACATTACAACTGAATTGTTTTGGTCCTAAGCTCTGTGCCTCTGCTTTGCTGGGTCTCAATGGACTGAGCTTCCAGCATCCAGACCTGAAATTAAGGTTAGAGATAGTAAGAATTGTAGATGCTGGAGTCAGAGATAACACAGTGTGGAGCTAGTGGAACACAGCAGGCCAAGCAGCATCAGAGGATCAGGAGAGATGACATTTCGGGTCAGGACTCTTCTTCAGAAATGGGGAGGGTGAAGGGAGCTCAGAAATAAATAGAGAGAGGAGGGATGGGGCTGGGGAAGGTAGGTGGGATGGTGATAGGTGATTGCAGGTAGGGAGTGGTGGCGATTGGTCAGTGAGGTGGGAGGGCCGGATAAGTGGGAGAGAAGATGGTAAACAGAAAGGGAGAAGGGAGCTCAGAAATAAATAGAGAGAGGAGGGGTGGGTTTTTGTTCTGAATAAGTTACATTAAGATATGTAGTCATTGAGTGTACATCTCTAGTATTGACTGGCTATTTGGCAGGACGTCTTTTTGTTGTTAACTGTGTGAAGGGATGTATTTTTTAAAAAATGAATTCCAATGTTTATGAAACTCTGAACACTGATCTTAAATGAAGGATCTAGCACACAGGTGCAACGGGTATTGAGGAAGTCTAATGGAATGTTGGCCCTTATCTCAAGGTGGTTGGAGTATAAGAGTAGGGAAGTCTTGCAACTGTACAAGGTGCTGGTGACACCACAACTGGAGAACTGTGAGCAATTTTGATCCCCTTCTTTTTTAAAACAATTGTTCATTGGAGGTAGTTTGGAGAAAGTTCACTAGGATGAGCCCAAGAGGGGAGGGATTGTTTTATGATCAAAAACAAAAATAGTTGGAATGCTACTCACTGGAAATGAGAAGAATGAGAGGCGATTTTATTGAAACATGTAGGGTTCCTAAGGGGCTTGATAGAGTAAATGCTAAGAAGATGTTTCCCCTCATGGGAGACTCCAGAACCAGAGGTCATAGTCTCAGAATTATACCGCACTAATTTAAGACTGACATGAAGAGGAATTTCTTCCCTCAGAGGGCTGTGAGTCTTTGGAACTCCTTGCCACAGGGAGCTGTGGGGATAGAGTCCTTGTGTTAATTTCAGGTTGAGATAGCTAGATTCTTGATTAGTTGTGGAATCAAATATTATGAGGAAAGGGCAGGGAACTGGTTGTGCAGAATGTCACATCAGCCATGATTCTATTGAAAGGTGAAGCAGCTTGAAGGGCCAGATGGCCTACTCCTGTTCCTATTTCTCATGGTTTCATGGCCTAAGGATTTGTTTGCATTTTCTTAGAATGTGTCTCAAAGCAGAGACTTTCTTTCCCCGGATTCTTTCAACAAGGTGTCTCTTATTTATTTAAAATTATGCTTTCTTTTCTGAAATGAACTATATAATGTTTCTAGAGAGATGAAGGAACTTCAATTCTTGTGATCAACGACCAGCTCACAAAGGAGAACACAGAGTTTAAAGCTTTTATTAAATATTTGCATAGCAGCTGTACCTAGCAGCTTAGAACTCAGAAATAAAATCCAAACTAGAGAATGGTTAATTTATACTTAATTGCATTGTATTTGATTGCTTTAAATGTTACACTGAGTGATATGGATGATGAGGCCAAAAATCTGTCGAGGCACCACCTATAGGACGTGTCAAGATATAGCCACTGGGATCTCAATGATGTCCTTGACAGTGTGTTTTGGTTCAGGAGAGGTTTCCTAATCTTAACTAATTAAATCAGGTACTTATGATACTGGGGCACATCTCAAGTGCCTGCAAAGATGGATGCTCTGCAAACTGTGGCTTTGGTTGGCATGTTGGGAGGTGACCACAAAATGGTTTCCTGTGCAGTGGTTCAGGTCAAATCCTCGGATGGCAGCTCCAGATGGGTTTGACTGCTGCCAGTGGATGGGCTACTACACCAGAGCTCCACCCTGAGTGTCGGCCACCAATAACTTGCCTGCTGTGGAAACTCTGGGCTGGGAGTTCACTTGCCCACCCTGCCACTACACAGTTGTCCGTGCTTGGATTGGGTGGAGATTTCTCTCCACCCCAGCCCATTAGAAATTTTTTGGCAGCAGGCTGAAACCTGCTTAATTGGCCTCTCCCTGGCCCCTCTTTCCACTGCACTCCCAGTAGAAGTACAGCAGCTGTCTCGCAGAAGAATTGGCCCCATTGACAACGTATCAATTTTTACATCTTTCGTTCAATGGTTCTTAAATCATGCAGATATTCCTATGGAACAGCCTAAATAGTGACCGTTCTTTTAAGTGATATTTATTCACATTATACTTTTTTAATGGGGAGTTTGTATTTAAAAAATACACATGCTTTTATGAAATGTTACTTATCCTTTTTGTAGGCAATCATTGTGAGATATTAGTAAAATAAACAAAACTAGATTTCAATGTAAACTCATTTTATTTTTGTTCACTTTTTCACTGTACAAAATATGTAGCCATCCACAAATTCAGTGATTAATACAAAAGCTCTTTAATTTTGGAGATTAAGGCCCAACAAATTTGCCTTTTGTTTGGCATGTCTCATGCTCCCCATACTATTGGGTTTTGGGATCAAGTCTGACAATTTATGAGAGTGGAAAATGAGTGAGTTGGGACAAGCTTCCAATGTATGAGGAACCCTCTGGTAGTATGAGGGGTACAGTGCGGATGCCTGATTAACATTCAGATTTGGGACATGGATTCCATAGTGAGATTCTGGCAGGAAGAAACTTGCCAAAGCTATGTGATGTTGAATTTGATCATGCAGAGTTGCATTATATTGTTGCACAGTAGAATATTCTGGCATCTGAATGTTGATGTTTTCGTCAATTAGTCCAAGCTTTGCAATGCGACCTGCAGGAAACATTATTTAGAGGATAAAATCATTTTTAAAAGGACAAACAATTGAAGTGCAGACAATCAAAATGTTCTGTCCTCAGAAAAAACGCAGAGGTTAATGCGAAACCCATCTCCATAATTCTTAAAAAAGTCAGGTGAGGAAAGTTTCAAGTGAAAGCCACAAATTTCAACGTTATTAGAATTAGTTATTAATTATAGAATAATTAATTGAGGCAGTTAAGGAATAATTCTAGTCTTCTCTTGCAGACCTCTAAGCTGACCTCTTTGCAAGTGAAGGTGTAGAGTTCCCCTAAATGGAAACGAGGAAACAAATAGCCAGTAGTTCCCACCTCCAATTTCAGTTTCCTGGTATTTAGTGGAAAATACATGAGTGTGGTTAGGTTCAATCTACCAACATAATCCATTCACATTTCATATAAGGTAGACTTTGTTTAAAAAGGTTAGCATCAAATGATAACATCACCCTGCTAGTTTTTTAAGCTTGCGCATTCTATAGACTTTAGTGGAATTTAAGTTCAATGTTATTGTATCCATTTTCCATGCAAATGTGTGCGATGATAACCAACCTAGCAGCGCAGAGACCTATGTCCAATCTGTGCTGATGTTCTAGCCACTAACTGCCTTGGGGGGTTCCTTTTGGGTGATCCTGGAAGCTGTTTGAAATGAGATTTCACAGCCTACCCCCTTGTTACAATAGCTTCATGTTAAAGGACTGCCATTAAATTTAGGAACCAAACTGAACTGAATTTTTGCCTGGTCTAAATAGAAGTGCATGTTTTTATTTTAATCTCTACAGATAAAACTTGCATATGGCCTCCTGATGCTTTTCAGGATATTAGATAAAGCAAAAAAAAAAGCATAATGAAAGGAGTCCTACATTCCAACTAGTATTGTGTATCATTCTTAACCTGGGATACATACAGCTTTTGTAGTCACATCAGATTCGTCATATTATTTTCTAAGTAGTGTATTCATTCAAGAAGTTCTCCACACATTCAAGTGAAACCTTTAATGAGTCAGTAAAATTTAGATCTTTTGTCATCACTCATGTACACTATATAATTTCCATCGATAGCAGATTAATTTGAAACATACCTCACTTCAGGGCTTGAGAGTGAGGTAATACCCTTCCTGGATCTCAAAAGGTTTTTTGCAAATATTTGAATATTTTAACTTAAAAGACCCTGAACTGGCCAGGCCTAACAGCTTTCCCATTCATCACTGACCAACTTCAGCAAGATAGCCTAGAACAAGCGTAAGGTATCTCACGTACAGATTTAGGAGACCCAATAGGTTTTAAGACAGCTCAACCCCTGGCGAATAATCTGACTTCATTTTGGTAAGGCATTTTTCAGATACCTTTGCAGCACAGGTTGATGGTCCTGAAAACTGTGCCTTGTTGTGCTCATTTTATTCCCATAAAACAGGCCAATTTCTACACAACTAAACCTAACAAATCTAAAATTGTTTTCAGCGGATTTCAATCAAGTTTCATCATTTATGGCTCATATGTTCCCATTCTCGAAAGATGTGATTTCCTGCCAGCTTTCCATAAGATATCTGACAACATGTAACATCAAAAGCCATAAAATAGTCAAGCAAAATTATTATTGAAACTTGTGCTAACAGGAAGCAGGTTACAGGCCAAGTGCTGGAAAATGGGATTAAAATAAATGGATGTTTTCTGTCTGGTACAGGTACAATGGGCCAAAGGGCCTCTTTCCATGCTGTAAAATCTATATGACTTCATGAAGAAAGATTACTGTATATGGTAATTGCATGCTATACCTATTGACTATTCTTACACAGATCACACACAAAGAACATAGTTGGAGAGAATCTGAAACCATGCTTCTTACCCATGTTTGCTGTAACAATATGCTTTACTGGTTCTTCTCTGCTGGCCAGATCTGTAGCCAGAGATGCAGTTCTAATTACAGATGTTGATGTGGTACTAATAGAGCTACAGAATTCCGAGTCTTTTTGTTGGATGTGACGTTTTTCTTTTTCCAATTTGATCTTCCTTTCTCTTCTGTCACCATTCTTCATCCATTGACTTTCATCCATCAGAAACTCATCCCTCTCTAAACTGCGTTGGTGCTTGCGATACTTGGCTCGTCTATTTTTGAACCATACCTAAATTAAGTGAGTAATTAGTATATCTGTTTAAAAGACATAGACATATTCAATAGAAAGTTTATATGTTTCCAATAGTTGTTTTAGGTCTACGAAGCACATTTGTACAATTCGGAAACAGTCACAAATCACTGAGATCCTTGGTGATTTGGGAATAAAAACATTTCCTTTTTCAAGAACCTAATCAGACTAGTATTTACTGCATTATTAAATAGTCTACTGCTTTGGACCATTGCTTTGAGCATGAATAGCTTGTTTCCTCATGTTCAGTTGAGTCTGTTTAAATTACGTTCTTCAGGCTTGGATTTTCTTGGACATTACTGCCTGGACCCTCATCGATTCCTATTGCTCCTCTAGGTCAGACTTCACTTGTGTCTCATTGCCAGTCTCCAAAGCTCCACAATTCCACTTATACAAAACCCTTCTGCCTTAGTTCCTAGCAGACCATTGTCAGAACCTGGACTACATTTACAACACATTCAAAAAATTATCATCCTTATGTGTATTACCAATAATTAAGTCCTTGAGAAGCACATTTTTATGCCACCAATTTAAAGGGGTAAATAACCAAATGAGTTTTAATGGCACTGGGAGATGCATTTTGTATAACAGGTAAGGATCGCAGATATTTTTCAAAAGCTTTCCATTTCTCTTTTCCAAACAGTATTTACAGACTTATCAGAAAGTCACAAGAGCATAGATCATGATTTCTCTAAAGTAGCAGATCCCAGACAATAAATAACAATCCTTATGCATAATTCCAATCAAACATATTTAAAACTATCGATTTATGGTGACCGAAAAAATGTCAAATGCCGCTTTAATTAAATGATTCAGAGGCTTTTACCGAAGTTTTGTCCATTACAATTTATCTGTCTAGTTCACTGACTTAAAATGACAAAATTGTCAAGTTCCATTTTTCCACTATTTGGGTTGTCATTTTTTTTTTGTTTCTGTTTTACAGATGAGATTTAGTCCATTTTTCTGAGAAAACTACAAATGTGTAATCATTTTCTTTAAAGCGCGAGTTCAGGTGACATCATTGTAGCAACTGGCTTGGAGTAGACAGGGCCATTTTAAAGGCATTAAATTTACAAATAATTCAACCTGAAAAATTACTGCAGTGATCTAGACTCACCATGAGAAATCTCACACCTTCAGCTTCCAAAGTATTTGAACATGCCAAAAGTTTGACAGACGAAATATAGCGTCATAATTCAGCTAAGGGGTTGTATCTGTGCTGGTTTTCTGCAAGGGCAACTCAGCTCAATTTCTCCACCCTTCGCCCAGTGCTGGAAATGATTTCTCCTCAAATAATTATCCAAATTTGCATTAAAAGCTATGATGGGATCTTCTTCCACCGCACATTCACTTGAAGTGCATTCCAGATCTTAACTATACACTGTGTGGAAAAGTTTTTCTTAATGTCATCTTTTTATTCCATTTATCTTTCGCACATCCATCAATAGTTTCTCCCTGCCTACTCTCTCATAATTTTGAATACTTTTAACAAATTTCTAATCAGCCTTTTCCTTTCTAAGGAGTCCAACACAAAGCTCTTCTGTCTAACAATGTAATTGAAGCCTGTTGTCCCTGGAATCATTCTCACAAACATTTTCAATGATCTCTCTTGTGCCTTCATATTCTTCCTATAGTATGGTGCCCAGAATTGGACACATAGGGTTGAATTGTCCCAGCCATTGAACAATATGGGCAATTGCAGGTCAGTTAGGAAAATATGACAAGATTAGAAAAATTAGATTTTCTATGTGAAGAAAATAAGGTCTGATTTTCCATCCAAGATTCAAATGGTGAGCTGAGAATCTCACCAGTGAGCAGTATTTGTATCTATTTACATCCTTCTTTTTCCTAATTTCACCTCATTTATACGCAATTACCTTTTCTCCCACATGTCAGAGAGAAACTAGACAATGACAGTTCCCGACACGAGAGCCTGAGCAGGTACTTGGCAGCTGCAGCTTACTGCCTTCTTCTCTGGGCCTCCACCTTGTCAAGGATTTCCTAACATCCCAGAGTGCCCCTCCCTGGGCATTCACTGCCCACGGCCTCTTCCTTCACACAACCCTCCCAGCAATGGAATTGGCATTGGGTGCACACCAGCTTCACCACATCACCATGGCACATTCCAGACTAACTTGGAACACAGTTCATCATTTCAATCCTGCATCTTGTGGGGGTGTGGAGGAAACTGGCAACGTTCTTGCCCAACGATGACCAGTTTCAGTAATGGGCAATCTTGTACTCAGTTGAACAATCATCCATTTGGCAGGTTGGTCCACAGCTACTATAGCAAGCATACTGTAGTCTCTGACCACCTCTAAATATACCTGAATTCTTGCCTCTGGAAGGTTGACATACATTGCAAGCCTCTCCCTCATCTCCACATCAGGGTAGTGCGTTTTCTGAAAAGCTTGCTCCAATGCCTCCAGCTGCTCAGTTGTAAAGGCTGTTCTACTCCGTCTCTGTTTCTGATGATGACTGCCATATCTCGCTTCTAGGATTATTTCTTCAAAATATTAATAAATGTCAGTTTAAGTAAATTAAGTCTGAAATATTCAGTGTTTTTCTGAGCAACTTTGGTACTGTTCTACATTTTTAAAGAACAAAGAAAATGGCTTTATAATTTTTTTTAAGGAATTGTTAACAGAATATGGATAACATTGGTATTGATTGCCTTTCCCTAATTGATGCATGTGGGTAGGAGTGGTCTACCTTCTAATAATTTTTTTTTATGCTTAAGTTGCATCCAGGCCACTGCAAACTTGTTAAAACTCATCAATTTCGTGTGAACTAGAATTAAGCATTGGCCAGATCTGACAAGAATTTTCCTTGGCAAAGCCATTTCCTTTGAGAAGTTTCTTGGTGAACCTAACAAGTTCTATAAGCTCCATGAAGATAATTCTGGTGCAAGCCCAAAAATTACCCAATTTGTTCAAGTAAGTTGACAGATTCTTAAGAGTTGAACTCCAGACCTCTATATTCCTAATGCAATACCATACTCATTACCCCACTATAATTAACAGTTATGAGGTGAAATTTCTTCACTCAGGGTGGGGTGAATATGTGAAATTATCTGCTTCAGAAAATAATTGAGGCCAAAACATTGAATGTTTTCAAGAAGGAAATGGATATAGTTCTTAGAGTCAAAGGGATCAAAGGTACGGGGAGAAAGCAGGAACAGGTACTGAGTTGGATGATCAGCCATGACCATATTGAATGTTGAAGCAGGCTCAAAGGGCTGAATGGCTTACTTCTGTTCCTAGATATTTTTGAATCACACTGTTCAGAGATGCTATTATGCACTTCTAGAGCAGATGGGTCCTGAACCTAGAACTTCTGTGTCAGAGGTAGGGAAACTACCACTGCAAACCAAAAGCCCTCCTACTCCTTTCTTTGTAAAAGAAATGTATTTTTCTAATCAATCTGTTCAGTGATGTTATTTACACTCCTCTGGAGCAGGTGGGACTTGAACCTAGGTGTCCCAGTCCAGGGTTAGGGGTATTATCACTGCACCACAAGACGGCCCTCCTACTTTCCATCTCAGCTGCGTTTGAAACAAGTTTTAAGAGTAGCATCACATGAAAGTCATGAGTTGATTGTTTGTTCAAGGGGTTCAAGGACAGAATTGATTTGACTAGTGCTAGGGAATAATAAGGAAACAATTACATTGCTCAGCGTACTCTCTAGATCACCGACTCCTAGGAAGTCAGAAGTCACATGACACCAGGTTATAATCCAACGGGTTTATTTGTAGGTGAAGGACCAGCGCTCCGAAAGTTTGTGATGTCAAATAAACCTGTTGACTATAACCTGGTGTCGTGTGACTTTCAACTTGGTGCACCCCAGTCCAACATGGCACCTCCACATCATGGCTGCTGGGAAGGAGATAGAGGAACAAATTCGCATGGAAATTATAGAAAGGTCTAAATATCATGGAGTATTTATAACAGTGACATCAACTACTCATATACAGACTCGGATAATGGTAGTGTAAGGGGCAATGATGGTTGTGTTCTTAGATTGTGTTCTAGAGATCTTTTTGTAGCAATATACCAATAAAAGAGAAACTGCTAGGCCCATTTGTTGGGAATGAAGAGAAACAAATAAAACGGTGACAGTAGGGGAACATGTAGGGGCCAGTGATTATTATATCATAAAGTTTGGGATAACATTGGAAAGTAACATTTGACAATCCAGACTGAAAATAATCTACTTCAATCAGGCAAGAACAGAGGTTTGTTAAACAGACTGGAACCAAAGGTTCGAAGGAAAACTGTTGGCAAAACAATGGGGTACCTCCAGAGAAGATATGGTTTGGGCACAGTTAGGGTTTATTCCCTCAAAAGGGAAAGGTAGGACCATCGAATCCAGGGTTTCCTGAAGAAAAATAGGTGTGCTAATGACAGGTGTCAGGTCATCAATACAGTTGAGAACCAAGCTGAATACAGAAGGTTCAGAACGGAGGTGAAAAAGCAAATATAAGGACAAAGAGAAATTACGAAAAAATAATGGCAGCTAACAAAGTGAAATCCCAAAGTCTTCTATCAGCTCACCAAAAATACAACGGTGGTAAAAGGAGGATTGGGGCTGTTTAGGGATCAGTAAGGGATTGACACATTGGGGCATGAGGCACAAACAATCATTTTGTTTCTTACATTATCTACAGGGCAGATGCTGCCCAAGTCATGGGGACACAAGAGAAACTCTGACTAGAAAGATTTAAAATTGAAGAGAAGGAAGAATTGGATATGACACCTGGACTGGATCTGATGCATCCAATGATATTGAAGGACGAGAGAAGCATTGGCAATTATGTTTCAATCTTCCATGGATTCGGGCAGTGTTGCCAGAGGATTGGAAAATCGCAAACATTACACCCTTGTTCAATTACTGACCAATCAGTTTAACTACAGCAGTGGGGAATCTTCAGAGACGCAATGATTTGTCATACAATAATTAGTCACATTGCAAATATGTGAGTTGATTCTGAAGAGTCACCATGGAAAATCATGTTTAGGAAACTTGCTACAGTTTTTGGAAGAGGCAACACAGAGAGCTGTTGAGGGGAAGGTTGTTGATGTAGTGTACATGAATCTCCAAAAGGTATTTGAACAGTGCCACACAACAGACCTGTGAGGAAAGTTATAGGCAATGAAAAGAGACAGCAACAACATGGATACAAATTGGCTTAGCAATCAAACACAGAGAGTAATGGTGAATAGTTATTTTTCATACTGAAAGAAGGTGTTCCTCTGGGATTAGGATTGGGACAATTTCCTTTCCTGATGTATGTAAATGATCAAGATCTTCGTGCGTAGTGGACAATATCAAAGTCTGTGGGTGCAAAAACTTTGGAGAACTGTAAACTGTGAGGGCAATACTGTAGAACTTCAAAAGCAAAATTGACAAGTTGGTGGAGTGAGCAGATAGGTGGCAGATGAAGTTCAATGTGGAGAAATGTGAGATGATACACTTGGTACAAAAAAGCATGGAGAGACAGTATAAAATAAAGGCTGCTATTCTAAAAAGTGTGCTGGAGCAGAGAGATGTGGGTGTATATAAGCCATTAAAGATGGCTGAACTGATAGAGACAACTGTCAAAGAAGGATATAGCATTCTACATTTCATTAACTGGGGCCTAGAGCAGGAAAGCAGGGAGGTTAAGATGAACTTATATAAGCCACTGGTTAGACGTCAGTTGGAGTATTGTATATAGTTCTGGGTGCCATACTTTAGGAAGAATTTAATGCATTAGAGTGTGTGCAGAGAATGGTTCAAGGGATGAGACACTAGCTATGAGGATAAATTGGAAAAGGTGGGGCTGTTTTCCCTGGAGAAGTAAAGACTCTGAGGACTTTTCATACAAGTTTTTAAAGTCATGAGAGGTTTGGACAAAGTAGACAGGGAGAAACTGTCCTCACTCGTAAAAGGATTGAGAACCAGAAGGCACAGTTTTAATGTGTTATACAAAAGAAGGAAATGCACTGTGAGAAAAACCTTTCTTACACAGAATGTTATTAGCGCGTGGAAAGCAGTGCCTGGATAATTGTGGAGGCAGGTTCAACTGAAGCAATCAAGAGGGCATTAAATTATTATTCAACTAGAAACAATATACAGGGTTATGGGGAAAAGGCAGGAGATTGGTACTAAAGTGCCAGTACAGTCACAATGGGCTGAATGGCCTCCTTCTGCACTGCAACAATTCTGTGATTCTTTATATGTCCCTATATCATTCCATCACACTTAGGGAAGTCAGCAACATAATTTGGGTACTTGCACCTCATTGGTTGGAAACAAAATGAATGGGAAACTGCAGCGAATAACTCTGAAAAGAAAAAGAGATTAAAATAAGGTGCTGAAACTACGAGAGAGATTAAAATGACACACAGGGGTCAAAACAGAATATCAGACAGAAGGTCCCAGTAATAAAGAAACAGTTGCTAAAGTAATGTCAAAATTCAAGGATTTCAGTTGACGAACCAAAATCTGTTCTCCAAAAAGTTTGACTAAGTCATTATGTGTTATAGAAATGGTGAGGAAATGTGGTGTCGAAAGAGGGACAAATGAAATTACTGAAAATAAAGAGTATTGTAAAATTAACAAGGTAGATCTCTTGTCCATTTTAGAAAACACCAAATTTTAATTGCTAATAAAATGAATTGAAATGACAATGGATATAGTTACCTGGTAGTTATATTAATGGAGTAGTTAATCCAGAAGGTATAAAGGTTGTATGAATGTGCCTTTGGTTATCATCAAGCTTTAGGTATTTTTAATCAGCTTCTGCAGGGATATTATGACTAACTTCTGGAGAAGGTAGAACTTTAGCTCAGGCTTCCTAATTCAGATGTACCACAAGAACCCCATCAGTAAGCTTTATAACTTTTCAAACTACCTGTTCAGGTCGGTTATAACACACCTTGGGAGCAGATGGATTTGAACTCAGGCCCTCCTACCTGAGGGGTCTAGACATTACCACTGCACCACAAGAGCCCCATTACCAAGCTGAGGCTAAGCTGGTTAGTAAAAGTTGCAAAGCATGAGTATTAACATAGCAATTGAGTCACAGTCATCATTTCTTGTGCAATTAACTTCTCTCTTAGTCGGTGCCAGAATAATGAACACTCACCAGCTAAGTATTCAGCCACTGTGTGGGTTTGACTAAATGGTTGCTGCCGTCCTGACTCTGTTCGATGTAACAGGTCATTCACTTGTTGGTGCAGGTAAAATCCTGCAGCTAGGGAATTCACACTTTGCAGACGATGGCTGTTCCCTCTGTAATAATACACCATGTTCATTTTCTGTGGGAAACTGCTATACAGAGAGGTGGACTTTGTTCTTTATAATTCAAATTAAAACCTGAAAAGTTAGAAAAACATAAAGTTATTCTTCAGATATATATAATAAAAAATATAAACATGTTCTTGTTTGATATTTTCTCAGGCACTTCTTATGAGGCAATAATTCACTACTTCTCTGGAGATTGTCGAAAAGACAGAGATAAGGAGAACATTTTTCTCACAGAGGATTATGAGATTTTGGAACTTTGCTCAAGATGTACAGTCATTAAATATTTTTAAGGCAGAGGGACATAGTTCCGTATTAGGCAAGTAAAGCAAAAATTATGAGAGGTAGATAGGAATGTGCAATTCAAAACACAAATAGATTGGTCATGATCTTATTGACTGGAGATCAGGCTTAAGCAACTAAATGATTTACTTCTGCTCCTATTTTGTAGGAGCATGTGAAAAATTTTGTCATTGACAGAACATTCGTTAGCAGGCATAAACTTTATGAATAATGAGTCTTACCAACCACAGGGCTGCTCTCTCATTAGAGAGAGAAACAACTGGTGAGGGCCATCACAAATCAGACAAGGGGTGAGGTTGAGAAGAAGAATCCTTCATGGTAACTTCAGCCAGTGATGGGAATTGAATCCATGCTGTTGGCATCACTCTGCCTTGTAAATCAACTGTCCTGCCACTTGAGCTAATAATGCTATAATAACACTTATGCTTGAGCCAGATGGGCATGAGTTAAGCCTACTCCAGAGGCTTGGCCACATAATCCAGGTTATTGTTTGAATTTACTGAGGGGGTATGAAACTGTTGGAAGTACCATCATTTAGAAGAATTATTATACTGAGGCTTTATCTGCCCTTTTGGGCTGGTATAATGGATCCTATGAAAGAGGTTATATTCGAAGAAGTGTGGGTAAGTTTTCTCATGTCTTTGCCATTATTTATCCCCAAGTAATATCACTGACCTGATTACTTGCCATTAATCCGTTAGCCCTTACTAGGCACAAAGCTGATGCAACATTTCCCTGCAGTGCAGCAGTAATTTCAGTGGCTGTGAAGCACTTTGGAGTACTGTGTGGTTGTGAGTCACACCACAAGAATCAAATGCTGATTCATAATGCCAGGAGACATAATTTTATAACTCCTTTCAGATCCATTTCTAACGCAGAGATATGCAAATCTGTTTAGAAACAAGATTTTTCTGAGTCTAGTTTTTCCTGTTCCTTTAGCCCATTTTAAAAAAAAAGTTCTTTAACAAAAGATTTGGACAAATATATTACATTTATGAGGAGGTAATGGGGAGAAGGTATTGAACAAATAAATACATGAAACCTGATACAAAATCGAAAACTCTCATGAAGCAAATCTGTGGATAATATTTAAATGAATTTCATCTCTCCAGATTTTGGGAAACGTTTTTTTTTAAAATGGGACCCAGCCCTTTCCCAGGGCTTGGAAAACCCAGCCACCAAAGGATGGATCCAACTGATAAGCCTATTTTTGGAGGACACTGTTTTTGGGCTAAGAAGGGCAAGAGTGCTTGCCCCGTCGCCTTAAATCTTCTTCCGCAATCTCTTCTCCTGAGATGTCTTCATTCTCCACGGAATAATGAAGATAATGCAGCTTTCAGATTCTTAGTAAAATATAAACCAGGTGCAGAGCAATTACAGTTCAGACACTTGTTCCTCAAGGGAGAGACCTCCAATGTAAACCTTCTATGATATCTATAGAATTATAATTGTATGCTGCATGCCATATAACTTTGCCTTTGAAGGAAGTCTTTGATAGATAGCTTAGAGGAGAGAGACTCCCAAAACCAACAATAAAAAAAATCTGGTTGATGAATATCAGCAGTTTCAAGAGAATGCAGAGGAAAATCTATTACATTCATATTTTTCTTCGGCAGAAGACATTGATTTGCATTAAATTAATATTTCTTACTATTTCATTAACAGTCAAGTCTTCATCTTCACTCAGCAAACAGGCAATAATCTGCAAACATTTGCACACTCCTAAACCCACCATCCTCCCATTCATTCTATCTTAGGAAAGCAATTTCCGCACTTGCTAAAACTAAAGACTGCATGAAAACTTTGATAATGCCATCATTTTACATACCATCCATATCATCTCTATGATAATGATGATTTCTAATGAAGGTCAGATGTCATGTATATGTCTCCAATTAAAAATTATGATAGGTGAATACAGCAAGCAACTATATACCACAAAAGGCTTTTTGCAATGGGTTCAAAACATATAAGGTTAAGAGTGAGGAACAATTCCGAGTGGAGACTTTGGGTATAAAGGATACTGACTCACAAAATGGCGTAAATTTCCTTCTCAGTGATGAGTCATACTTTGTGACTTTAACTTACTAAATAAATTAGATTACTTAGAGTCATAGAGTAATACAACATGGAAGCAGGCCCTTCGGCCCAAACTGGTCCATGCTGACCATGCTGCCCATGCAGCCAGTTCCGATTGCCCGCATTTGGTCCATATCCTTCTAAACTCTTCCCAACCATGTACCTATCCAAATGTTTTTTTTAAATGTTGCTATTGTACCTACCGCAACCATTTTCTCTGGCAGCCCACTCCATGTATGCACCACTCTCTGCATGAAGAATGTGCCCGTCAGGTCGTTCTTAAATCTTTCCCACTCATATTAAATCTATGCCTCTGGTTTTCAACTCCCCATTGCTGGGAAAAAGACTACATGCATTCATCCTATGTATGCCCTTCATAATTTTATACACCTCATTCTCCTACATTCCAAGGAATAAAGTTCTATCCTGGCCAACCTCTCCCTATAATTTAGGCCTACTAGTACTGGCAACATCCTCATAAATCTTATTTGCACACTTTCTAATTTAACTATGTCTTTCCTATAACAAGGTGACAAAATTGTACACAATATTCAAAGTGCGGCCTCACCAATGACTTATACAACTGTAACATAACATCCCAACTCCTATACTCAATGCCTCTACCGATGAAGGCCAGAATGCTAAATGCCTTCTTCACCACCCTGTCCACCTGTGACGTCGCTTTCAATGAACTATGTATTTGAACACCTAGGTCTCTCTGTTTCACAGTATCTTACCATTCACTGTATAAGTCCTACCTTGGTTTGACTTTCCAAAGTTCCAAAGTTCACACTTATCTGTACTGAATTGCATTTGACAATCCTCAGCCCACGTCCCCATCTGATTAAGATCCCTCTGTAATTTTTGATAACCTTCTTTGTCATCAACATACCTCCTAATTTTGTATCATCCGCAAACTTACTAATCATGCCTTGTACATTCACATCCAGATCATTTATGTAAATAACAAATAACAAAGGTCCCAGCACCAGCCCCTGTGGCACACCACTAGTTAAAGGCCTCCAGTCCAAGAAACAACCTTTAACCATCATCCTCTGCTTCCTACCATTGAGCCAATTTTGATTCCAGTTAGCTAGCTGTCCCTAGATACCATGTGACCTAACTTTCATGACTAGTTACACCCAGAGCAAGACGTTGCTGAAATGGTATCATGCTGTCAAACATATGGTAGTGCATGCTTCAATTTGATTCTCACCGCCTTCATCATGTTTCCTTGACTTTCCACATTACAACAAAATGGTCGAAGGATAATGCTGTTTGATAGTAAAGTCACAGATGTTCCTTGTCTTGGCACATGCTGCAGTATGGGTTCAATGAACTGGACTAGTGAAGGAAGAATGCAGCCAGAAATTCTGATCTTAATTATAATACAATGGTTCTGGCTGGAAAGCATACAAACATGGATTTCAGCAGAGGACAAGCCAATGTTAATGGTGATGTACCAATAGTTGAAAGGGCTGTTTATCCTTATTGCCTGTGCCTTTGTATGAAGAGCAGCTAAACAGACATGTCACCAAGAGATGGGTAGAACCTATATAGCTGCACCACAATGCAGGAAATACCCACAGAATCAGGTTAGGAAGAGAATGAGGAGAATAAATTGAAAGAAAAGATCTTTTTTCAACAAAAAGATGCAATGCAAGTTCTGAATGGAAATAGTATAGAAGTAGTTGCAACTTGCTTGAGGTTTTTTCTTAAATAATATAAATATCCTGAATGTATTAATCAGGCGTTTCACTCGTGCATTTATTATCTTATGCATTTACTGGAATTGTTATTTGTTTATATTTAAATATTTGAGCTAGATTCTAATTCTTCCCACTTTCATAAAGATTGTATAGAAATGTTACTCGTTCCTACTAAATATAGCTGAAACCCTTGGTAGAGGACAAATTAGGACCCAGTCTTCTTTGTCCCTGTCATCAATGTAACGATCTTCCATTCTGGGACAGATCACTTTACAACATTGTATAAAATAGCATGAAAAATGTTTATTTTCAGCTCTGAAATATAACACAATTAACTGAACTGTTTGTGTTTTATACCAGAATATGTGTGATACTCTGTAAAGCTAGGTACAGGAAGGGCTCAAAGACACGGAGCAGTCCATGTATGGAGATTATTAAAATGTGGTGACAAGGGGCAAAAACAAATCAAAGAGGCTAATGTACTGACAACTAATCAAGCAAAGACCTAGTTAGATTACATTTGGAGAATTGAACAATTCTGGGTACAACACCTTAGAAAAGATACATTGGTCTGGGAGGAACTGGGACAGAAATTTAATGGGGTGTAACTGTTAGATAATAGGGAGAGATGATGTCAACCAGGTTTATATTCCCTCCAAAGCAGAAGGCCAACAGGTTGACTGATTCAGATATTTAGAATTTTGGTATGATAGATAGGTAGGAAAAAATCCTACTTTTCAGAAAGTCTTAAATGATGGGACATGGCTTAAAAGTCAAAGAAAGACCATTCCAGAGAGAAATTGAAAAACACTTCCTCATGCAAGTGGGGTG